ACCTCAAAGTTAACCTGAACTAATCATAGGATATAAGAATCTTTCTTAAATGAATTTTTCCAAGCATCATTATTCTCAAGGTAGAGGTTTTAATGCCTCAGCCTCCCTCTCAAACCACAAAAACATCTCCTAAGATCTGCATATCTGATTGGCCAAGACCCCTAAATTTAGATGCAAACTTCTAAAATAAATTCACATTATGCCTATAAGTGAATGACCAGGAACGAAAAGCTCCTAATGACTCTGATCCCCTTATCATTCAGAGTCTCACTCAGATCCCTTAAGATGCATCCAAATTACCATCCTAAATGTCACCATCTAAAAAAGTTGATTTTAAGCCACAAATTTACATTAATAACAACAGAGAGGAATCAGAACACAGACATAGAAAGTACCCAAATGCAGAGGGGAGGAGGTAACATGGCTGCAGTAAATGGCATGGGACTGCACACCAGGCTGGCTTATTCTAACCATTGCAACCCCAGTCACCTCTTCTGCTTTCCCTTCACCCAACAAATCCCTGCTGAAAAACACAGTTTTAACTTCAAAGTGAATCACACCTTTCCTTTCAGACTCCTTTAAATCCACACACATGAACAACACAACAAAAGGCCCTCTCAAAGTACAAATTAGAAGCAGTGATAAAAGATATTTCACAACCTGCATTGCTGTTGTCATTTCCAGGGGCTCTTACCTCACACTAACCTCTGAAATAAGCACACAAATTTACTCAATGTCTCCCCTCAGTTACACACACTCACTACAGTCCTTCTCCTTGCATTACAGCCTTTCAACACCACCATCCCCTTCTCCTGCACCAACCTATGTCTATATACATAGTGGCACAACAATTTTTGTATGCACAGACATGTTATTGCTTCTCCAACTGGTTTTTCAGAAAGAGTTTAGAGTGTAGCCTAATTGCTAAACGTTCAGTAAATAGAGGAATGGTTCAGCAAGAGAACAAAATTGGGTGAAAGGGAGGAGAAAGAAATATTTATATTAAAAAACTCAAATTCAAAATTTAACATCCCTATTATTTTCAGGCAACATATTCCATACATCCTACAAAATCTGGGCAATATATCATTACGTTTCCTTAGAAAATAAATGAAACAGGTACAAAACACAAGTTTATTAAATATTCTTTAGCTTTTTACAGAAATAAAGACATAATACACATTATAGTGTCAGAAAATTAATATAAACTACCTGTATGTATTTTAATTACATTTCATAGTGTTGGTTAGGATGTATTACTCCACATTATTGAAAGAAAAGCCAATGTAGAGAATCTAAGGGAGAAAAGAGAAATATGAACACCAAGCACTAATTCTGGTCTTACACTAAGCTCTGTCTTCTCCACAGGTGGTCTGGAGTCACCTCCACAAGATGCCCAGTAACTCTAGAATGGCTGTTACCATTCAACTATGTCAACTATATCAAGAAAGGAGCAGACCAGAAAAAGCTGCAACATGTTTCAGATTCAAATTAGTAAATCAACTGTACCAACTTAGTTGTTACGCAGTTACTGTGAACTTTTTGCAGCACAATCTGTCGCTGAACAATTAAAATGTAATTTCATACCCATGCCAGATCTGCAGACACAGCACTTCAGACACACTATCTTTGTACTGCCTTGAAGTACTGGAGCTTTCCTCCTTCTCAATCCCACATGGAAATTGCAGAGCCATATCCTGCCCTGGCTTCACAGACACATATTCCTGGGGCCTGATACACCCAAGAAAACACAAACCTGGACAGATACATCTTGCAGAGTCAAATCAAATCCAATACACTTGCAGGTGTAATTTCCACAAGAAAGGTGAAAGAAGATTAAAACACTCCCTAAGAAAACATGAATCGAAGTATGCTCTGTAGAGAAACTGACTCACACTGAGCAAGACAAGGATAGCACTCCCCCCAGCACAGCCAGTCCCAGACAATGAGTTTATAGAAGTCTACTGCCACTCTAAAACCCACAATTAGTTTACATTTCATCCATTCCTTTATGTGACTATTTCCCCAGGTTGAAAGGATCTCCTTAGCAGCCTCATCAGTCACAGATTGATTCTGACAACTCCCTCAAGTGGCTCTTGAAGGAGACCAGACTCCAAGGCACCTTCAGTTACCAAGCTGACTCAGGCTCTGATCTGGACATGTATTCAAGGCAGTTCAGAGCCTGAAGCTGCCAAACTTCAGCTCCTGCTGCTGTGTTATTGTTTAGCAAATCAGTGAATTCAATGGATCATTACACTACTACATACACTCTTTCCTAATACTGCACAGATTAATTGCTCAGTGCCTTCCAGGGCACCTGACAGAGCTCTTTATTGCCATGAACTTAACAATTAACTTTTGATCCTCAACATCTCCACTGATCTCATTTCAAATAAC